CTCAATAAGCTCATTCGTCTCAGATTAATCTGACAGGTCAAGTTAGAAAGCTTCACTTAACCATGTGCTGAGAGGTTACCTGGCAGCTGCTCTACGTTTCGATACCTCAGATCATGAATTAAAATGGATATGCGAGTGTTGAACTAACCATCAGACATGCGACACAAGCCTGTCGGTTGAATTTCGTATACATTTCGTGTACATTCACTTAGTTCATATTCAAGAACGCTCAAGGTTGATCACTGGCCACTGGATCAAGGATCACATTTTGATGTCGCTCAAAATGCACCAGCCAAATAAGAAAAACAAGAAAATTTTACCGCAAACACTGGAAGAATAAATCCATCCAACTGGTCGTCTGACAACGATACTGAATTTTTTCTCGTCTTGTACTGTCGTAGACCGCTTAACTATTGTTCTCCCCTGTCCATGAATTAAAAGCTTCCTGTCTGAATGGGCTTGGAACAATGTGGTGCGCATTCAAATTTTACGAAGATATTCGCCTCCAAAAGCCACCGGTTCTTCCCTCCTCATCGAGCTGTTCCTCTAAAACGAGGGGAAGACTGTTCGAAAAACTCCGAAAAGTGCCGAATACTTGGGCACGTTGGGAAGATCTCCTACATTGATTAAAATAAGCACAAACAACGATTTAATGTTCAAAACCCCAGACTTCAGTTACAGCTAAATTCTACCAGGACGGTTGGAATCGTTGCCAACTTAGCCAGTTTTCCAAGTGAATCGGATGCAAGTTTTAGATGTATTTGGTTGCCTCAGCTTTATGTTGATTGCTGATTTATTCCCTTCTCTGTGGGCCATCTACAGTCTGAACTGGAGAACTTTTGCCAACTTAACCCCCCAAAAAACACTTCGGTAGTATCCCGTTCCACTGCTATCCGAAAACGGACACAGCATCTGTTCAAACCCAAAGCATGAGAGATTACTGCTTGACCAAGATAGGTCGGAAGACACGGCAGTTATGCACGAAAATAAAGGACCAAAACCCATATGTGTTGAAAACCGGACCACGGAGTTCCATTACTAGAATAGTGCTTGCTCCTTCACCTGAAACGAGTCATGTGACTAACTCTAGCAGTGCTCTACAAATACTGTACCAAGCACCTATCTACCTACGAAGATCCGTTGAATAATGCCAGACCGCAGCTGAGACAGTCGCAATTCTATCACACAACCCAAGTTTATGCACCCAGAAAGCATTTGTACGCGCATTGGATCTTTCACGGTTCACTCAGGCAACCGCTTGCCACTCAGGCCAACCGATCGTGATTTGAACAGTTTTCACACTTTTATCTCCATAATCTAGTTTACCTCTGTTCCCCTTGTGTAGATGGTTCGTTTTTAGCTTTGCAATTCTCTAACCTATCTTATCCATAGACAGAGGTTATGAAAACATCAGTTTTCGTCAGCTTGTACTGTGATTTTTGCAGTGGCTCACTGCGTCAACCACACACAGTCGCAATATCCAGCAACGATCAGAGTGCTGAAACGTTATTCATAATTTCACCATGGGCTCGCTGAAACAAAGACATCCACCTTTTCCTAGGATAGTTGTGTTGGAAACAGTTCTTTTGCCCACAATTTTCGGAAACGTTTGAGTTGTACTCGTTTACGACCAGATGCGGGATTGTTTAAAGGACATCCGCTCAACTAACCAGACTCTATACGCGATTCCAGTAGAACTTGAACGATATTCAAACCAGCAAAAACATGTGGACGCCCTAGATTACAACGACCGTTTCATTTTCTCCAATATTGTGGTTTCTTCTGTTCATAAGCGTATAACAAAGAGATGCACATATCTAAATAGATAAATGTACTGGGCAAAATCAGTCCCAAGTTTCAAGTGGTCCACGAAAGTATACCTATAATTTTTCTAGAGTCCAAATTGCCCCCATGTATATGGAGTTTTACCTTGAGAGTTGCGTTGAGCATAACACATCCATAGACTTTCGGTTTGAGAGCGTTTGTGATTAAACTACAGACCTTACTCAATCCTCGACAGAGATGTTTTAAAAATTTAAATCAGATTTTGTGAATTACTGTTACCAGTAATCCTATTCTTGTCCAAAACCCGAGGCTTTTCAACAAAAAGACATTTTCCGAAGCCGGTAACAATCATTTATATTTTCAAGTGCTGACACTGCCAGTGTGCGAGCCTAAATCTAACCATAAATGCGGACTTCATCTGTACCCACTAGAGCTGGTTGTGTACGAAACGCGTCTGAAGTATCCCATCGCATTTTTCGTCGAAAGTTGCGCATATAGACAAGGTGTCTTCTTCTTCCCTCTGGTATTTTGTTACCACTCGACACGACAGCTCACTTGCATTTTGTAGCCGAATGCAACTGCCGCCAAGAGATAAGTTAGGGACACGCGTGTGAATTCGATCTTTGTTTCCATAACTGTCACTGAGAACATTTACTAATCTAATTTAGATGCTGCTAACCAAGTTAGGTATTTTTCTGCACACTCCAGGTCTCTTGAAGTCACCATTACGGACAGAAATGTGAACACAACGTCTTGACGGAATGGCTGCCCTGATGGTTGAACAACTATCCGCGAGGTGTAATACACGTGATGTTGAATGTTGTCAAACTTCACGGACAAATGATAACGGCTACAAAGGGTCATGAATTTTTCTCCTCAGGGTGAGCATGCTAAACACGAAAGGCTTTTGTGCCTTTGTTCGAAAGCATCCTCTAGCGTAGAGCTAATATGACCCGATCGGCCTATTTCGATGCTACTCGTAAACACATGCTTCTCCTTTCCGTGTCTCATGGTGGATCCCTGCAGGTGGTGCCTACTAGTGGGGTAAAGAAATGGGAACCACTTCATCAAACTAACCGAAGACCGTGAAATCTAATCCAAGATGTTATCAGAAAATCTTCGCTTAATTCACTCACAAAGCTGTTACGCTAGTAGGATATGCAAAGCTAAGTTACTGAAATGGATGACCATGAGCCCTGCCTTTCAAATACATGAAATACATGAAAGTTAACAAGGCCAAAAGAAACCATTTTGCCATGTGGAAGATCCCAGTGCCCAAAAGACTGAACAGGATCTGAAGTAGATGGACTGATTGACGTACTAATCTTCGATGCTTGAACTGCGGGGTAGTGGCTTGGTGAAACGAATGCGATATCGAAGCCAGTGTGTACAGGGAAGGTTAGGTCTCACAGTAACTGAGCTGATAGAATGCGCAATTCGTTCGATGATATTTTGCTTCCAAGGATTCTTCACCTAATCGTCCAGGAAGATGCGCTTACATGTCAATTTGTACCATTCCGGAGGTGAGAATAACAAACTGCACGAAGGTTTAGTAAGAAATCGATCCACAGTAAAGAGAAGCTAATTACGAAAGCTAAATAAGCGGCCTGGTCTCTTTACCGTACGTAGCGGTACAGATAATGTCGTAGTACAGCTCTTCAACAAAAGCAAATGGATCAAAAGCAATTGATACTTTCTATCTGGTTTGTAAACGGGTCATCTGTTCACTCAAAATTCGCATTGGTTTCTAATTGTGGCATGACACTGAAGGGACCATATTTATACTCTATATTTTGGAAGGAGGATGATTCACGAGAATGGTGCTTAATTAGCACATTGGTGTTACTCGAACCACTGTTTTCAGTGGTGTCATCTGTTGAATGCAAATTGGCATTGATTTTTCCCAAGTGGAAGGTCGAAATTAACAGATTTCTTATAAGTGGAAACTGAATCTCTCCTGATCATTCTAACCGGTCAGTGGTTTGGAAATCCGTCTAATTTCTATCTCCCCGAATGAGGTCCTCCCCACAGGCCTAGCAACCAACAGCTGTGAATGCGATCATTGAAAAATCACAGTTTACTAGTATGACTGCGCTTTTGAAACTCTGGCCTAAACGCAAGTTACTGGCGTATATTTCCTGTCCTACCATGTCCGCCTATCCACATAACCAGGGCGCCCATTGTAACAATCAGTATATTTCTGTCTGTGTACCCTCACCTACCATGGACGGATGCGTTTCCAGTGTGATCAATATAATCTAAAACGACGCCGATGTGTGCTAAGCAGCACGTGCTGTTGCAAACGTGACCAAAAATGGTTGAAACTCTCCAGGCGAGACAGCACAATGCTTTTATTTCTATCAAGGACATCTCCGAGAAAAGCTTCCTCTGTCTGTCTGTAACAATATGGAAAGCTGGTAAAGATGGTTTCTAGTATGTGGCTACAGTAGTCTGAGACGCTTGACATTTTCACCAGGAAGTTTAGTCAGTCGAAATGGCCGCAATACACTAAGATGTATTGGATGATCGCCGTCAGATGGTAACTGAATATGGAAATGGATGTATGTGTGAATTCCTGTCACCACCAAAGCCCACAAAACACCAAGAAGTTGTGTGTGTGTGCGGGGGGGGGGGATAAAAGCTTACAAAATGAGTCTCTATTAAAGGGGTCTATCTATATTTTAATACCGGTTTATTTAGCCGATGGTTGGATTGTTCCTAAGCACCAGTGACGAAACCATCATAGTTGCATTCCATTTATACTAATTGTTCATTTCAACGAAACCAGTTAGTAAAATCTGACATCCGTGGACTGAAAAAAACATTTGAGTAGTTTACTCTCTCACTAGGAGACAACTGACTGCTTTCATCTCTTTGGGCTTACTTGTAATCTTGACCTTCACATTCCTTTGCACCATCTTCTGCCCCTCATGCCACTTGCTCGGTTCCATAATCGTTCTGAGAATCTAATAGCATGATGATGATTTTGTGAACAAAAGATTTGTTCAAGAGTAACACCTTTCGCTGTCCATGCCACCGAAAGAAATCGCGAAGGTTGAAATAATAGCAGTTTGCCTAAACCCAGATAGAAGCCAGGGTTGGATTCGAACCTCACTTCTCCCGGTCACCTAATTTTACTCCTTAAACGTAAGTTAGTGAATCATTGGAATCGGTGAAACAAAGACTAACCGATAAACAACAGAAGTCTGTCAGAAGAGAAAATTCCGAGCGATTAACATATATGACAGAACCAGGACTAAGAAAATAATAAATGAGAGGCTAGCAAAATCAGGCTTTCTTCTGCTTTTCTGTTATTTGTTGTTCAGTTTGAATTTGTCGGGGAACAAGTTATCTGCGAGGGGTAAGAACTGTGTACAGGATGGTACTGAGTATGTATAGAAAATCTACATAGCCCCAGAGGTTGACTCAATCAATGTATATTGACCAACAGCATCTGTATGAAGATGAACTTCAGGGAACTGGGGAAAAATTCAATATGCAAGTAGTATAAAATCCGAAAAAATAATGTTCAGAAGCGCTGAAAGATAAAAACAAAGGCGTATCGGGCTTGTCGACACAATAATCGTGATGAGAATGAGATGATGATGAATCTGTCATTCGGAGTTTTCCGTCAAAATGGAGCTTTATCAGGATTGGTTGAAAGATTCCTCCCAATAAATGGAAGAAAAAAACAATGTGAAGTAATTGGATGTCAAACAATTGAAAGCATGAGGTATATGTAGTGTGTATGTGAAATCACCGTAAAGGTCGCACAGATTAATTTTGGTGCTGTAACTGCTTGCCTTGAGGGTCATTGACGTGGCTTAAGAAAAATGTTGAGCCTGAACAGTTTAATTCTACAAAGACAATTCACGGAAGATGGGTCGGATAGGGATTGTTCATTGATGGATGTTACGATGATGCTAAATCATGATGTTGAGATAATCTTGCGGGCCTTTCAAAGGAGGATGCTTGTGTGGGTCGTGTGGATAAGGCAGAGTCGTTCGTGGCGCCGAACCACACACAAAAAGAGGCTGGACTGGCAATGGGCCGGGTCCACATCAAATCGCAAGCGGATGGCCCAGTACGACGCAAGAGTTCTAATGGAAGTCGTGCGTTCTCTATTGGACGTTGTTGATTATCAGTAGTAAGTATCCTCACTGGCGAAATGAGTCCAAGCACGATAATTTGTAAACTGGGTGATTCCGGCAAAGTTTGGCCGAAAATCAGGGGTATAGGGACTTGAATATTTGTTTGAATTCGTCGTGAAATTCTGTAAACTATCGAACATTGAAGTGGGCTTGGAGTTGTCGGAAACTTGATCAGAAGACCATGCATAGTGTGATACTCTTCGTTCTATAACGTAATTTTTTCCGTTGTTGTTATCCCAGTATTGACCACAAGATCCATCTAGACCCGCTATGTACCGGATGGCGAACTCGATTTTTTCACATTGTTCTGCAGTTGGCAACTGAGGAGTCACTTTCACATGAAAAGTGAACGTGTCAAATCTGGATGCTGTGTGAATTCGTGTGCCGGAAAGCTGAGGATTGTACAATGCCATGTGGTCTGTGTACGAATGCCAGTTATCGGTGGTCAGTCGGAGCCAGACTTGCTTCTCGAAGGACATGTTTTTAACCTTGATTGTTCCTGACAGACTCGGCAACTGGCTGGTAGACTCCTCACTGGGCTGAGTTATATTGATGTTTTCCAATGACACAGAACCATTTTCTATACGTTGACGAAACTGGTAATACTGAGAAGCTGGCTGCAGAAAATCTGCACACCACTGGTAGCGGGGTGAGGCAATGGTTCGATTTGGATGGGGTTCTGTTGGGGAGAGATTGTCTTGAGTTGCACCAGATGGGGTACGAATAACATTTATCAAATCGGCGCTAGGTTTCAACCTCGACCGTGTGAAGTGCTCAGTAAAGCAAAAACCTTGAACACGTGGCTTCCGGGGAGCAAGCAAATCTAGGCCATCATATTCGTCGTCGTAATCTAAAAAAAAATTGAATGCGTCACGTTTGACTGCCTGTCCGACGGGGTTGGAATTATTCATAATAAGTCTATCAACTGAACAAATCAATCATGGAATCTCTCATCGCTCAAAGTTTTCCGGTTAGCAAAGGGAATGAGTAATGGAAAAAACGTGTCCAGATATAAGTTCAATGAAGCTCATGCAATTCGTCCAAATCTGGTCTGTGTAATAGTCCAGTAATGTTCGATTGTGACGTTCATTTGCGACTGCCTTACTGTCTACAAGAAATGCATTACGTTCCAGTAAGCCAGAAAAAAATTATCAGCGGTCAGTCAAGATCCACGCATAGGTTTATTTTACTCCAAGGGGCCTGTAGTACAAATGGTTGGCAGATAATTTTAAACTGGATCAAATTCCCTTGTTCATTTTACGAATTGTTTTCTGTACGGGGAAAACTGGGCTTTGAAATAACGGCATAACAGTCTATTCACCGTGTTCTTTCGCGCCGCATGTTCATAAAATTTCCGCATGACTGAAGAGCAGGAGGCTGCTTAGAATGGGATCCTTAAAAGAGAGTACAATCAATATACGTTAGTTACCAGTCCTTTTATGGTGGAGCATTATAACTCCAGGTTTACAAAAAGGGAAGTAACTCGCTCCCATCTCTCCGTCTGCCCGTATAGATATCGTTCACAGTGACATATTCCCTCTTTTGACGAATTAATGTATATGTCCCATTCTTCCTAATTAGTTGGGCACCGAGGAGTTGGGGACATTTTTCGGGAAACCAAAGAAAATTGGATGTTTGGTTATTTCTTGTCAGAACTGGCCCATTTCGCATGGGACCTGGATGAAATTGGAAACTCGGACACTGTGTGCAGGCTTCAGATACGTTGTTTATGGATGAACCGAACGCTGCCTTTTTAAATAACTTAGTGGACAGTCACTATATTCAATCAAAAGTGCACAAGAGATAATATCCTGACCAGTGTGTCGTCGTGTTTGAGCTTTTACGTCATACAACAAGTCGCCCAGTGTGGCACTTACGAAGCTTCTCTAATTTAGGACACCAAAAATGTTCTGTCAATAGAGGCTACACTCGTTCTGATTCCGGAAAACGTTCGCTGGTCCCTCAGTGATGGCACGCTTCTTTCATCTTATGGTATTTTTACTTCGTTTGGACAAAACAGTCCAGATGCGACGTGTTCTTCAACGTGTGCAAATGTGCCTCGTACTAGCCGGTCAAAAGTTTGAAAGGTCTTTTTGTCACCAGGCAGGCCAATGCGATTTAGTTCGGTTGAGACAATCCCGTTTCAAAGAACGGCTACAGATACGAAAAATGTAAAGGCTGGAGAATGATATCTAACGAAATAAAAGAAAGAATTGAAAAGCATGGAAGTTTCCTGGCAGAGAAATGAACTTTTACCGGCCGGTGATTCACGACTCTTAAGTCTTCCAAGGTGATTATCCTTGAATCTACTAACTCAATTATTAACCCACTTCTGATGATTCCTAGTAAGGATGAAGCAGCTGTACAGTGCTGCATAGATTGGCTTTACTGGTAGAATGAACTCTCCACTGAATAACACATGTTTAGCCGTTGAGGGTGGTTGGAGGGTGGCTTTCCCAATTGAAGAAAAAAATTCTAAAAACAAAGAGGTGGTCCAAGTGGTTAGAGCTCGAATTTACTGACCGGAAGGTCCGTGGTTCGAATCCGACCCCCACCACTCGACTTCCCCTGTCTAGGTTTGGGCAACCTGGCAGTATCCCAGCCCTCGTGCTTCCTTCGGGTGGCATGGCAGCTAGGCACCGGAAGGGTGCTAGAGCTGAACGCTTTCTTCTTTTCCTTTCTAAAAACAAAGCTGCTCGTAGTGTATTTGTGGAGAGCACAGCGTATCGAAAGTTGTATCTACATGGTCGAAAGTATGATAAGATGAGTACCCATACGGAGGTTACGAAATTTCGTCCATTGTCATTCACCAAAAGTTTGCAGGTTTTTCTACCTGATTTGTGTCTGTCTGCCTGAGATACAGGTTGAATTAAGAGACAAGCAGTTCCCTACTGCGGAGACTGCAAACACTTAGATATTTACCTATGTCACGGCAGCCGTGTGTGTAAAATAAATTTATATAGATGAGGATGTCGTCATACTAATGGAAATTACTCATTTTGTGAATGGCCCGTTAACTATCAAATGTCAGTCCAAGTAGATATTTATATCCGCAATTCGACGGTTATCTCGAAGAAGAAACGGAAGGTTCAAAAAACGTGGAGTCGAACGATGCAAAGTACTTAGCGTTTCTGTGTGATGTTATCTTCCGCATTCTCAAGGTTCGTTACTTCAGCAAATGTCAGAGCAGAGTGATTTCCAACTTCTTGGAAAGGTAACTAAAGAACTGTAGTTGGATTGTACCTTCTGGGTTGACAGACTACTTCGTTTCTTCCTAGTAAGTTTTCATTCGAAAACAAAGACAAATGTGGTACGACTTCACAGTCACAAAGAAAGATGAGTGTTCACATTTCGCTTAATAATGATAGCCTCGGCCTATGAGTAATGACACTGGTAGGAAAGCAGTTTTTAACAAATCCCGAGGAGTTTTGAAGAAGAATGTACAGCTGGTCTAAGAACGCTAAGAACACTGCGTTATAGCGGTACACATCGTTCATTTGAAGGAATACCGCCAGTTTTCTCACTGTTTCCTAGGCTCCCTGAACAGAAGACTGGTCGGTTTCAAATACGTCCAAATACAGCATAAATAACTTTCTTTTTCCCCTAAGCCGTTTGTCTTAGGTAAACATTTCCAGTTGAATCCAAAGGTCAGTCATATTCGGAGTTCTTTTAACAATGATAGTTGCTCTAGCAGCATAGAATTTGAATTTGTCAAATTCGTAGTCAGTATTATCAGAAAGGGGAGATCCATGCTTCCTTGATAGTACGAATTCCGGGAACTCTTTGTATAAACAAGTAGGCACACCACTGACCTGTTACCCATCAAACTGACATAACTCCACGTATTTTGATTTGCCATAGTTTCCACCCAATAAGACACTTTTGCACAGACTCTAGGCTGCAATGTTTTCAAAGGTAAACAATAGAACACCCTTCTATAAATAAAAAATCGTTCCGCTGTAGCACCCTTTCGGTGGCTAACTTCCATGCCACCAGAAGGAAGCACGAGGGCTGGGATACTGTCAGGTTGCCCAAGTCTAGACAGGGGAAGCCGAGAGGCAGAGGTCGGGTTCAAACCACGGACCTTCCGGTCAGTAAATTCGCGCTCTAACCACATGAGCCATTTCGCCCCCTCTATAAGCAGCAACAACAAGTGAGTAGCGGAAAGCGGGCCTCAATACCTATATCGTTGTACTGGGTGAAAAAAGTGCATCCGTCAAAGTGGCGGTCTAAACGTTAGTGACCTTGACAAAATCGGCTGCATGACCTCAAACGGCCGTGATCACATAATGCGGTTCAATCATGTGATTCACGTAGAAAGTCATGTGGATTGGCAGCTGTCCTGGTCCGCTCTTCTGATGTGCTAACCTTCATGAAGGCAAACGCACGACCCAGATTTTCATGTTATCCTTTTATTCACACGAACAAATTACATGATACCTTGTGTAAAATATCGATTATTAGGAAAGGAAAACTAGAAAACCCGTAGAACCAACTCATCTAGTTTTAAGTGGATGTCACCGATAACACCAAAATGTCATGCGATTTCCGTGATCTCGATTTGGACGGAAACGTTCTAACGGATTTTATAAGCATTTATCTTTTTTCTGGCAAGTAACTCACCAGGATGGAAAGAAAATGAAAGGGTTACAAAAAATGGGAAGCTTGTATGCCTACTCTATTGTTGCTCACTCTGCGAGTTCGGCAGCTGGATTGTAAACATTCAGTCATCGGTCCAGAGGAAGTTATCACTACGGGGCTAGCTGAATAGATCCTCCTCTCTTACTCTTGCTTTTCAGCCTTCTTAGAGTTGATTGACCTATTTGCTGTTTTCCTATTGTTTTGTTTGCTAAACGACTGAGGGTTCAGCAACTGTGTAGTCCTTTGGTTGGTAAATCAATGTAAATTTATTCATTGATTGATTTTTTATCCAGGCGCAAGTCTCGACGAACACCCGCTCGTTTTGTGTCCTTGCATGGACAGGAATCGGGACCCTGCACCAATTAAGCCCGTGTCCCTCACTGTCTTCGTAAATCCAGACAAGCGAGACCGCAACATGTCTCCTGCTGGCCTGTATGTGTTCATATATTCCGGTGGACAACCAACCGAGAGGTGGTTCACAATCCAATCCCTGGGCGTTTCACATCTTTGTATTATACCTGGTTGTTCGCAGTTATGTCTTAGTGACAAGCGCATCTGGAAATGCAGCTGTGTGGTTGTTACTCTTAACGAGCAAACCGACAGCAGACGAAATTACGCAGTGATTCACTGACAGTTTTCTGACCTTGAACCCATTTTACTCGCTAGTGGAGCGAAGCAGACCAAGTTCCACACTGGAAACAAGTTATGAAATGAAGAGTGATACTCGGTTTGTGATGTTCTGCTACCTTGTTATTTGCTCGAACTGTGAAGTGACGGTTAGGTTTTTTGACCAGTGGTTTCCTCAAGGAACTCGCCGAAAACGTCAAGCTTTCGCGTCTTTGCAAAGCAGTATTCGGAAACCAACAGTTTACGAATGCCAACTACGCTGGCAACTGTCAAGAAATCATTATTCGTCATTAAATTGTCACTAAGGCGTGATCTTATAAGGAAATCATCATCGCCGACAGCATGACATCAGTGTTCAACACCGATGCTTCATTGCTTCATGCAACCCTTTATGTGTATTGGTATCATTCGGTATAGCAGTGATAAACCGCAGAGAACAGCACTGTTTACTTATTCAAGGATAACTTATTAACTGAATTATGCCCGGCACTATCAGAAGGAGTTTACCAATATGCTGGACTGGTATTGCAGCTATTCTTATAACGAAGACTATTTGGAGAGATGGTCAAATAAAAAAATCTG